TGAGAAATACCAAATTCGCTCTAAAAAGCTTGATTGATTTCCATGTACAGTTAATCTCGCACAGCAGATTACTGCATTGCTACTGCAGTTTACAACTACTTGTGAAAGGCCTCTTGAAGAATATACCACAGAACTGAAACACGACCAAGTTCATTTGTGCTCTGAATCAGCGACAAAACTTAGGTGTTGAAAAATGCAGAGGAAAAATTGACATCTTTTTAAGTATTAATTAAGATATTCAGTTTTATAACACATTTGAGAACTGTCTTAAAGAACCATACTGTGTTTCTTTTGTAGGGCAATTCTGTTTTAAGGGGTATACACAAGGGATATATACATATTCATCACAGTAGATCAAGATTTATAAGCCATCTTCAGAAATTCTTGAACACAAATTTCCTGGAAGTATTAAGCCTTGAAGATTGTATTTTCAGTGCCAGAAAGACAGTCTTTCCTGGTGTAATCCTTGATGCTGTCATTTTATGATAATTATCTTTTAGAGAATATGGGTGTTGAAAACCTTTTACATAGCTCTGTGTTTTCTAACTGAGGCTGTTCTTGTGCATTAGGATGTCACCCCTTGGTGTCATAAAGGTGAATGTGTCACTGCAGAGGGAAGAAGTAGAGATATGAAATGAAAAGTTAAAAGTGCTGTGGTCTCTAGTTTTGTGCTGAGTACTGTATTTTTCAGAACCAAGTATCCCAGGAACCTCCCTTGAGACAAGCTGAAGCAGTAGAGCTCAGCTATACTTGATTGCAGTCAAAATCTTATTTTAACTGGCTTTCTACAAGGAACACTCAGTGCATGCTAATAATGTGCTGCATTGATACCTAAACAAAGAAATTTATTATTAGTTATGCATAACAAATGGAAATATTACCTGGATCTTTTGGAGCTGGTTAGAATGTAACAACCTGATGGAAACAAACAGTACAATTGCAGTTCAGCACTGTCTGGTGGGGACACAGTCTGATGAGCCTGGAAGCTACTTTCCAATCTTATTTTTGTAGTGTTGTTTTGAGAGGCTGTGCACAAATAGTGTTAAAATGTACTTTTTGAAGCTGCCTAGCTAGTTTGGGAACCTGTCCATTTTTACAGTCTGACAGCTCACCAGTCCTACCCCTGCCAGACTAACTCCCTTCACTAACACTTCAGACACTCCATCCCTTCTACTGGGCACAGAGGACCTTGAGGAGAATGGAAGATCCACACGCACCTCCAGCTGGACACAAAGCTCAAAGACAACAGTGCATATTAAATTTGTTCTTTTCATGAAGTTGATAAGAGAAAATACTATTAATTTCTGAATGCAAAGCACTCGTATGTAGAAATATGCATGTAAATCCAAAATCATCCATAAACTAGATATGATAGCAGCTAGATATGATAGCAGCCTTATGGACTTCATGAGGAGCTAAAGGAGATCTGCATTACAAGTGTGCTGCATCCATTGCTCCTGGTAGCTGGGAATCAGCAATGTTATGGAGTATCTCTGGGCTGTTTTCCCTGTGGCTACATGCTTATAAACAGCACTCCATCTGTGCTTTGTCTGCATTGGCAAATAATTCTATACAACAGGAGTGGTTCAGCAGATTAAAGCAGTTAGTGCTGAGATTCCTACCTCTGTACAATGTGGGATATATAGTATTTTTCATTGGGCTGGGATTTGGCCTGGTCCCTGAGCCCACTGTCCACTCCACTTATGTGGTTTGAAGATGTCTGAAGGACAGAGGGTTGGATCAGACCCTTACATACCCCTTTAGGCCGGGCTGCATTTGTTGTCTACCTCAGCTTGAGCTTCCAATTTAGTTTCCTCTGAAGGCAACCAAATTCATGCACATTAGAATTATTCTGCAAAACAAGCCAAAGTGCAAGAAGTGCAGATGATCAGAAGATACACTTCAAAAATTCAGAGTTGTCTTCAATTAATAGTGTTGATTGTTTTTTTAATGTACATGCAGCCATATGTAGCTCTGACCTTAGCCTGCATTTACAGCACTGCCATTGAACTAAAGAAAACGTTGCTATTTTAGTTACATTCACAAATTTAGAAACTTTTATCTTGCAGATCTTCAAGTTCAAGGACAGGCTAAGTAGGGTCAAACGAGCAGCTCAAGTATTTCATCCACTAGAGACCATCAGTAACATAAATAAAGTTGACCCTGTGCACATAGGACACCCTGGTGTGCAAGTGAGTGTCTGTGTCTCTGATATTTGCTCAGAAAATCTTAGTAAAATGCCTTATTGGGTTATTACGTAGGAGATAAGAAGCTTGCTTGCCTTATTTACAGGCAATCAGAGCAAAATGAAAAATAAAAATCTCCAGATCAGGAGCAGTAATGAAAAACTAAAAACTCAAAAAATAAAAAATAAAAATCCTTGACAAGAGAAAGAATAGTCACTGCTGCTTCATGTTTGGTACCATGGAATATAAATTAATTTTGCATTGGGATTCAGAAGTTTACCACAGTAAGAACCAGCCACTGGTTCAAAAGTCAGTTCTCCTGAAATGAAGGCTTGTTCATTTCTCTACTCTTTGTTTGAGTTGGAGCTTATGATCTTAAGATTTTTGAAATCTGATGTTTTTCCACATAAAAGACAATCACGTACTTAATTTTCTCCTGTTGAAGCAATCAGAATGAAATTAACTAGAAGGCAAAGGATGTTTTGTATGTAAATACGGTGAAAAACAGCATAGAAATTAAGAAGCTGAAATGCCTTGCAATACATTTTTTGATAAGGAGTAAAAACCAAAACTCATTCAACTAGTATCAAAGCATTTTCATTTTGTTTGCCAAACTTTAAAAAATAACAAATCTATCAAACAACACTGGACACATTGGAAAATACACTAGTGCATAATTCATTAGCTTAGTCTTATGTTAGGACTGTTGTTATTAGTCAAACAATTGCTTGCCTCTGGCATAACATTGAAGATGGACTTCGCATTTTACTCTGTAGTGGCTTTATAGATTGAGACATTGTCAAACAAAAAGAGGAAAATATTAGACTTCTAATGAGAATTTCCTGCTTCCAGTTTGAGGCTTAGCAAAGAAAGAGAAGAAATTATTTCCAAACTCTTATTTATTTCAATTTGTGCTTTTTTTTGTTGTTGTTGTTTGTTTTGTTTTGTCTGTTTGTTTTTTAAATTACACGCTTGAACGTGTTTCTTAGATATTAGTGGGCACAATACAGGGAAGGCAAATGCATTGTGGAAGACAAGGACCTGAACTATTGTTTTGTTTCCTTCTTTTTTCTTAAATAACCCTTTGTGTCAACCCTACTTTCAAGTGTATTTCACTATCAATGACATGTGAAGACAAGTAATTATTTTTTGATAGTAATTACTTTTTATCATTTCACCCATACTTTTATGAACAATGACTGGTTCATACAGTTTTCTTAAAATTAAGACTATTCAATTGTTAATTTTGTATTTTGATTTGAAACCTGCAGAAGTCTTTTTGTTTTGTTTTGTTTTAACATAATAAGTTACCTAACGTTGGAATTTTATTGCTCTGTAGTGTACTTGTTCAACTTCCATCACTGCTTCTGGAAAGAGGAGAAAATGGCTAATGTGAAAGATCCAGCATCTTAAAACCTTCAAGAAGAACAATAAGCTGTTGTCCTTAATTAACAGAAAACTACTAATATCCTTTGTGTGTAAAAGAGAGAATGACTAAATAAAATGTCAGCCTATTGCTTCATTTAGTAAGTCTTCAGGGGAAAATCCAGACGTTTCTATTTCTGTGGCAGTTCCACCAAATGCATGTCTTAAATCCAGCCATTTCCAAACATGAAGACAGCATCCCTATTTTGAATAGTGGGATGTAATCCAATGGAAACTGCCACTATAAATGGAAATCCTAATTAGTGAGGGACTGTTCCTACAAAAGGCAGTTTTAATTTTATGCCTAATGTAAAATCAAAATGTTACCCACTTAAAAATTGTTTTAACTAAGTTTTAAAAAATCAAATATGATTATCTCAATCATGCATTAATTTTATTATAGATTTACCTTATCCTGAAAAATGGATCACTCATTTTGGTCTTTTTCATTTAATTTTTACAGATGGGTGATAGAATGAAATTTTTTATAAGATTGGTTTCTAAGGATTGGTTTCTAAGCTAAACAGTGCACTGTATATAATTTTTAGGGTTAAATCTCCAGCACAGATCAATAAAATAATGCAGAAATTGTGGGATTACAGAAGCTGAAAATCTGTCTCTATGCTTTGAATAACTGATTCTTTACGTGACATTAAAAATCCTTTTCTTGACACATTACAAAAGATTTTTTTATTGTTTTTAATTCTAAAGTCATGGGATTGAAGAAAAATTTCATAAATATTCCAAAACTAGATATGTTATTCTACATCTAATTTCTAGTAATGCAAAAGCAGAGTATAATACCAACCAAGTTAAAAAATATATATATATTCCTTGTATATATTTTTATATTATAAGATGGGAGAAAACACAGAATATAAATTGCCACTTGTATTTCTACTTTCAAAATGTTTCAAAGAAATGTTTCAAACAAAACACTTTGGAATATGTTTCTCTTTATTCTAATTGTAAATCTTTTTCACAGAGTAGTTGATTTTTGTCTTTCTTTCTTTCTTTCTTTCTTTCTTTCTTTCTTTCTTTCTTTCTTTCTTTCTTTCTTTCTTTCTTTCTTTCTTTCTTTCTTTCTTTCTTTCTTTCTTTCTTTCTTTCTTTCTTCCTTTCTTTCTTTCTCTCTCTCTCTCTCTCTCTCTCTTTCTCTCTTTCTCTCTTTCTTTCTCTCTCTCTCTCTTTCTCCCTTTTCTCTTTCTCTCTTTTTTTTTTTCCCCTTGACAATAATAAACATTTTTTCCCCCTTGACATAGTAAACAATTGCTATGTTTTCTATGTTTACTATGTCAAAGTATTTTCATACTTTGATCTTTACTGTTCCTTTTTGTCTTTTCTGGAAAAGAAGTAGGAGAGCATCCAGTCAATAAGAAGAAATCATCATATTGAAAAGAACAACATGATTTAATTGTTGTCATTCATGGGCATTAAAATACAGATACATTGTGAAATACAAGATAATGACAGAGAACATGAATTGATTCTAATGACAGAATTTTCTCTGACCAACAGAAAACAGCACAGACTTTTATCCAGTTCTTAAGCTGCTTTTTAAGATTTTTATCCAAGCACCTAGCTAGCTTATTCAAAAATAAGAAAACATTTGACATTTGACATTTGACATTATAAAAGGAAATGGAGTCAGTAGCTGTAAAAATAAATAGAATTCATGTCTTTTTGCCCATTTGTGCCCATTTAGCAAGTAATCATACACTTTTTATGTTTTTTAAACCTGCTTACATTAGAGCTAATTATATTTTTCATACAAACATATTTTCATCACGCTATCCCATTAACTTTATCTGTTATAATAATATATAATATTGCATATCAATATACTGATCTAAAACTAGCTTGATCCCAAGTTAGACTACTGGGCTTTTTGTAAGTAACATGACAAACTTAAATTCACAAAGTGAGACTCCATTACATGAGCATTTGATTCCTAGCAAGCATTTATCTTCAGTGCGAACTTGCAGCTACAGCTGAGCGATAACATTTTGCCACTTGTGCTCACATGGCAGCCGAGGGCCACTTGTTCCTTCTTGTGCCATTGCCTCGCTGTGCTGCCAGGCTGGAGCTGTGGGGAGATCCCCAGAGCCAAGGGGACATGTGGGTGTTACAAAGCCCCCTCAGCCACCAGCACGGGTGATGCACTGAGCAGGGCAATGCGCTACGCCCGGGCTGTCACAGCGGCAGCCCCGAGATGCGGGCGCAGAAAGCATAAGCAAGAGCAAGCCTGAGATTGCTGTGATTTAGGACCTGACCAGCCATCCCCAGCATGTTGCAAAGTTGATGAAAGGCTGAATTCGCCTTTCCTGCAGTGCCTTTGGTCTAGCAGTGAGGGCACTTTAGCCAGCCCCACGAGTGGGTTGGAGGACTACATTTTTATGCAGGCACATAATAATCCCCAATCCTGCAAGAAAAATGTGTCTGGGCAAAACCCTGTAAAGGGTTTCCCTGGAGAGGTAAAAAAAAAAAAAAAAAAAAAAAAAAAGGAAAAAGAAAAAGAAAAAGAAAAAAAATTCCTTGAGGGTCTCTTAACTGCTGTGCAGTAGGAAAACCATGCAGCCTCCTCCAGATCTAGCAGATATCTGGGGAGGTTAGAGCCAGCTGCATAAAGGGCTTCCCACTTTACAGCAAGTCTGGATCTAGCTGGGGTAACAACCATTCTGGGATATTCCCTATGGCCTTTCCCATCCCACAACTTCCCTGTCCAAGCTCCAGAAATACTGTCTACCTCTTTTTCTGTACTTCTGATGGTTGGACAGGGGACAACATGTATTCTTATTGGTCACAGTACAGTCTGCACACCCTATTCTTTCTCCTGCACAAATACATATATTTTTTATTTCTACTTTCTTCCTGTTTATTTTTCTCCCAAGTGTTTGGAAAATATTCTGAATGGCTTGAGAAAATGTGTGAAATGGACACTGATTTTAAAAATATGCAAAAATTACATCCTGGCCTATAATAACTCTCAATTTACATCTAAGTAATAGATTTCCAAAAAAATCTAACTTCCAACTTGAACAAAAAAGGGGAGGGGGTGGTTTGGCACCAAGATTGGTTCATCTGTGTAGTATGAGCGAATACTCATACTGTCAGTGACTGAAGAGATGAAGAGTTGTCTCTGAGCTTAATGGGAATGAACTCCAGTACAGTACGTCTCGTACTCCTACCATGGTACCTCTACACTCCAATCCTACCATGTACCGTTCCTCATTTGTTCACAGATTTTTAAAAAAGGACCACCACCACATTGGGAATCAGATTTATATAGCCATGTCCATGGGAAAATAACTAAACTGTTCACAAAAGCCTACCAGTTGTGTTCTACTTGGATAATACCATTATATCTCATTTAGATAATGGAAAAAATGGGCAGCTAAAAAACTTTGCAAAATACAAATATTGGTCCTCTGAAATCTTCATAGTCAGTAAGTGTAGAGTAGGAAAAGAGTTCTACATTTTTAAGTGGTAGAACCAATACTGGATAGAGAACTTCAAAACCGCCTAAGAGACTTCTTCAGACCTAGATTTTTTTATTTTTTTTTTTCTTCTTTTTATCAGTGACCTCTGTTTTTTGGATATCCAGCTTGAGACACCATAAATGGAGTAAATTTTCAGAAAGCCTTGAGCACCCACTCTCTGAAAAACTGGTTGCATTAAGGTATCCGAAGATGAGCACCAAGAATTGCTGCATCCAAAATGAGTTTGCATCAGGAATCCAAATTCCCTCAAATTGGCATTTAGGGAGGACCTCGTACTTTAGGCAGCTCTGAAAATCCTAGGCACCATGCACAGTGCATGTTTATCTCTGACACTGGCAGATATAGGTAAACATCTTCCACCTAGACCACTGCAGATTTAGAGAAAAAAACACATTTCAATACTTTTTTCTGCTAACTCTAAGGAGGAATAACGAAATAATTCAGGGCTAGCAATACTTTTTTTTTTTCTTTTTTTTTTTTTTTTTCCACTGACAGTTTAAAAGCAGATGTATTTTAGATACATGTACATATGAGATGCAAGGAAATAAAGTATTTTTCTCTTCTAAACCTTAATAGATGATTTCAGATTTTATCTAATAATCTTGTTTTAAGACTTAATCATTTTTTTCCAATTTTTATTTCTTGTGATGTGTAAATAGCTAAGAAATCTAAATATTCTAATATTCTTTCATTAAGACAGTAACATTTCAAAAGCTAATGTAAAGTCAAGCTGCTAAAGTTTATAATTTTTCTGTCCAGCAGTTCATTTATACAACTGCCCTGAGTAGATGCTATATACTGCTTAGCAAACAGCCTAAGAGTTTAAAAATAACACAGTAAAGCTACTCAAAGGTAACACAATACTTCTCAGGCATCTTTAATTTAAGAAGAAAATAGGGTTTTCTCATTAATTAATTATTCACTCCATCAATGATTTATACATAATAAAAACACAATTGAAATGTTCAGAAATAATTGTGCTTGTTCTTATGCATTGGATCATAAGCCTATTTTTCAGAAAGACAGGGTTCAACTCTGAAACAAATCCTATTTTTGTGGACTATTTTTGCTGCTTTTATTAAACTGTATGTCATTCCCATGTGAAAACAGTCTTTTCTAATCATCTGGCTTGCTGTGGTTATCATGTTGGCTTTTTTTTTTTTTTCTTTTTTTTTTTTTTTGCAAAACCTTACTGACCCCCTATAAACAAAAACATTATCTTATTTCAAAACTCCAGATATAATCAATTTGCAGTGTATCTCAAACTGGTACAAATATGTAAAATTTGTGCTTTTAAAAGCTTCTGCTTTGAGTAGCCTTACATTCCATAATTGTGTCCTAGCATTGTCAAGCTCTATTGCATGCCCCATTCATGAAAATTGTATTTTGTTGGGATGATGTAGCTTAAAGAATTTGGCTCTAAAAATTCCTTACCTAGAGCTTCTATTAAATTATATTAATTTAAAATATCTATGGAATGATACTTTTACAAAAATATTAAAACAAAAACAAAAACAAATTAATGGGTTGGGTTTATGAAAATGACTCTTTACAGTAAGAAAGGTTTATCACAGTTTTGGTAACTTGCATGAGTTCGTATCGAAAAGAAATCTTTCACATGTTCTTAATGAATTTAAATCTGGTGTGCTCTAGGTATTTTCAGTTGTACGCTCTGAAACAGTAGACACCGTACAGCTTGTGCTTTTTATCGGGGAAGCCTACAAAGCGAACAGCGGCTTCATTAGGGCTGCAGCGTTTCCTTGGTCTGGAGATCGGGTAGCGGACGCTGCCGTCCGCCAGCCAGCCAGCGTCGCAGCGGTCATATCCCAGGAGCTTCCAGGCAGCAAATATCTGGCCAACTTTGGCGATCTGAGCGCCGTCCTTCAAGCAGGCCTGGACAGCCTCATCATAGGTCAGCTTGGTCGGGTGTATTAGGTAGTAAAAACGACCTAGCAGGAGAAAGAAGAGGAAAGAGTAATCAGTCGCAGACTCAGGCCAAACAGTGGCTGATTTGGGACTCTGAAAGTTAGTTGTTACGCTGTGAAAAAGATTTTAAGTTTTTCTGTAGTGAATTGATAAATACTGGGAGTAGAAAAAAAAAAAAAAAGAGAGCAGGGAGAGGAGGACAATCTAAACAAAAATACAGCATTATACGTATTTCTACTAACATAGTATGGCACAGCATCTCCAGCCTCACTGGCATCCAGTGCTAACTGACCTGTTGTAATGCATTTTCCTCCTCTGGATGTAGAGGTATAAAAACAGGAAGAAAAAGGGTGAGGAAGAGAGATGTTGGTAGATAACCTGGTTTTCAGCGGTGGGCTTCATTCTGTACCTAAGGTTAAGGTGCCAGATGCATTTACCAAGAAGGTGCCAAAAATAATCCAATAAAATACCTGAGGCAGATCTCAGGCAAAGCAGACCTCATACAGCTGCATCTTAGCAGTAGGGAAGGGAAATTAGTGAAATGTCCAAAGCAGTATAATTTTACATCATGCTCTCAACATGAGAAAACCCTTGCGAGTTTTCTTCTCGGCAGCATGACATAGCAAGATTTGGCCACAGATAGCACTTGGGTGAGGGTGGCTGCAGCTAACACATGCAGTTTTACCCTCTGACAAGGCAGTGACCTTGTTTCTGGTTAAGTACAAGCACAATGTAAAGTTTTTTGTCGTTGTTGTTTTTGTTTTTGTTTTCCCCTCTAAGAAAGACAAAACATTGCACAGCTTCTCAGACGCAGAGTTCGAAGCTCTGGCAGATCAAAACCATGTCTGCCATAAGTCTTCATTAGCAGCATCACAAACATTCACAGCAGTTCTGCAACTCTGTTTCTCTTTAGGCATCAAAGGACATATCCTTGCCTTGCGATGGCATTGAACTGATAGTGGTAGTAAGAAAAATGTGACTCTGTCTCAAGGTAATGAAAACATATGCCAGCAAGTAACCCTCAAAGAGGAAGTCCCCTGTATTAATTCAAGAGCAGCAATAATACCAACATTAATTTCACTTTTCAAGGCAATATAAATTCTTTGTTAGCATTTCATTCATTATACTTAGGTTTATTTATTAGATTTCAAAATAAATTCACAACATTTTCAATCTGACTGTTCTATAAAAGGGGGAATTTGGCTGAGAATCAAATCAGTTCATTCATGTGGGGCAAGTACACTCTCAGCTTTTTAGTTATGTACGTATTCTGGCGTAATATCCATTTTCTTCCTCATAAAAAAAAAAAAAAACAGTAAAAAACACAGGTTGGATTCTGCTCAGATTACCTTCCTGGTGAAGGAAAACCAATGGGAAAGAAGAAGAGTTACATCAGCTCTAGATCCCAGCAAAAAAAAAAAAACGCTTTTTTTTGTTTTTTCTTTATTTTAAAGTGAAGAAATGTCAGGTCAGATGAAAATATAAAGATAATAGAATTAGCTTTGTGTGAAGGTTTGAAATTTCACACTGTGACAGGAATCATTAAAAAAAAAAAGCACTGACATTGTGGCTGTGGTGGAAAAGAACCTTCTAAACAATTTCACTGTTGTCAGAAGCAATATCTACAGTGTTTTCACAGAAAACTGTTGAGAGTAGATAATCCACACCTTTGTAAAATGCTTGGTTGACTCCAGCTCAGCAGGTTGACAGCATTTACAGGGTGTGGCTGAAGAAAAATGTTTATTAAGTGGAAACCTGTTCTTACTAGGTTATTAAGAGGTTTCCCCAAAGCAAATAGGATTTCAGACTTAAGGGAACAGGGATTTGGACTGATAGTATGTAAACTTCACCTAGCTTATTAGTTGCTCTTCAAACCATATGTCAGTGGAATGTAATTTCCTAGGGATTTGCAGTAAGGTCAGGCTTTTGACATATGACATCAATAATAAAAACTCCTATACTCTGCCCCTTCCCTAAATAGGAGAACTTTAATAGCAAGCCCCACGAGGGTGGAACGTGCATCCAGAACATCTGATTAAATAAGACACAGTCAATAAACTCAGTGCAGATTTGCTGTTGTTTTTTTTTTGTTTTTTTTTTTTCCCTGCCAATAGGTTAGAAGGCCTCCTAAATGGCAACTGCTCAATCTTAGTTTTCATTAATTCACGTGGAAGGATGGGAGGGGAGAGGGGAGAGAGGGGCATTAACCCTCCGTCTCATTAATAGCTGGTAGTTAGGTCACTCGTACAGAGGATGCGTGTGCTTGGCTTGACTTCTCACTCCAAACCAAAGGGCAGGGGATTTATGCAAACCTAATCAAACTCAATTTATCACAGCCATTTTAAGCTTTTGCATGTAACGGAACAGCTTAAAGAGGAAAACCTGAGTACTTGACCTAAATACCTACATCCTGTGACTGCAGGAGCCTGAGGGATGCACTGCCAGTGAAGATTCCTCCCAACCTCAGCTTTAAATTGGGTGTTTTGAGGCAAAGTGGTTTTTTTAATCAAAACTGGGTGTAGACAAAGTGGGACAGCACACTCAGAGGCACAGAAAGGCAGCACCACCCCACCTGCTGTGTTCTGTGCCAAAGAGCTACGACAGAGGTGCCTGTGTGCTCAGGGAGGATGCCTTCATCTGCAGCTGGTCATCGAATACCTAAGGGTTGGGGCTGAGCCCTAAGGCTGATGCAGGGCATGGGATGCCCCGTGAAGTGAGCAGTCTGCACACAGGCTGAAAAGCTTATGAAGAAATGGGTTGAATTGTTTCACTGTGCAAAGAGTAAATGCATGGTTTTAAATGGCAGTGAGGGGCATTCCCAGCAGGCAGCACAACACGTTGGCCGTATCATCTGCTCCACAGACCTGTACAGCTCAGGACACCTCACAGCCACAGACACCGGCTGGGTGAGGCCATTGTTCTCCAAAGCTGAACATATTGAAAATAAATTCCTTCAAAAATAAGGTCACAGTAAGCATGCTTAAATACAGTGATCAACTCTGGTGACTGATTTTAAACCACTGCATTAAAGAGGTGGGAACAATTTTTGAAAATCCTCTTCAGGACCTCCCCCCTGACTCCAGTGCACCCACTTTTAGGAAAGGGCACATAATTTCACTTTGCGTAGTTTTGTTCCCCTTTTTGGAGCAACAGCTACGTGTTCCCAGAGATCCAGTACTCCATTTATCTGGAACAGTCCGCATGCATTATTCAGAAAAGATCTTCTTCCACTTCCTCCCCTGCAAATGGTGGTGGGTAGTTTATCATATGCATTACTGAAGTAAACAGGTGGTTCACAGCTGCATTTTCAACATGATCCCTAAAATTAATTCTTTGTATTTTTAATTTTGTTAACATAAGAGATTTTTACCCAATTTTGCTAGAGCTGATAACAAATCAATTATGCATTGCAGTTCTGTGTGCAAAGTACATAACAAAATGCACATTAATGAGCTGAAAGTGTGACACAAACCCTATTTTTTGTGTGTTTTTTTTTTTTTTTTGAAAGTGTTTAATTATAAAGGAGCTGATAGATATGTCTATATTTAGCTTGCCTAACACTTTCCAGTGTCAGAGATTCCCATGGTTTTTCTTTGAGAGACTCACTGCTCACTTGAGAAGCCATTTGAAATTAGGTAAAGAATAACCCTCAGCTATATCATTACACATTCTTTGTCCTATGCTATTTTGGGTCTGTGGGACTTGAATTCCTGGTGCAATACTTGTACAGAAAAGGACCATCTTTCCTGCACAGCCATATGGTCTTATTCTTGAGCTCTGAATAGTAAACATATAGACAGAATTATGATAATGTTACTCTTTGTATAGTTCTCTCTCTATATATATCGTTACATATTCCTATAAAATGGTAAATTGCTGGTACTACAGTTTTTAAAAGCAGATGATCCATTTTGGGGTGTTTGACTTTACCTTCACAGTCACAAAAGACAAAAAAAAAATCCGCTATGAATCACCTGAATGACAGTTACACAGGCAGAACAAAATGCTCAAGTATTGCACTTAAATTAGTCTGAGAAAAGACACTGTAGAGGGTAATTTTCATAAAGTACTAAGATTATTTTATACTGCATTGCAGAAGAACTCTGCTGAAACAATTTCGCTGTGCAGTTAACAGGAATGAGTGCAGAATTCATTTCTAACAGCATCAAAACAAATTTTTGTCATTATTTCTTTGTGTACTCAGTTTACCAGAGGGACTCCAGTAGATCCAGAGCGAAAACACTGAATCTGGACAGGAGCTCACTGCATTGAAGACTATATTTTCATTTTTCACCTTAATGACTGAATGTAATTTTGTCATTGCATACCTTTCTTCTCCATATAAAACCCAAGCCTCTACTATTTAAAATTGAGGCTTTCTTTCTTTCTTTTTTTTTTTTTTTTTTTAATCTCCCTTGAGATCATAACATATTTTTGAGATTTCTTTCTCTAAAAAGAACCCAATGTAAACCTCACACACCCTCATTATTCACAGCAGCAGCTCATACAACTGACACTCTTTGAGATTTTTTTAATTTATTTTTTTTTAAGCTAGCCTTACATGCCTGTGATCCTGGGGCCCCTGGCGTTTTTCCAGCTCCCTCACATAGAGCTGAAGGCTTCTCTGTTTCACACTGTCAGGAGACTCCAGCAGTCACTGCCACTGTTGGAAATGCATGGTGTCCTAACCACTTCTCATTTTCCTTGGCTGTTCCCAAGCCGAGAGGATCAATATTGTGTGTTGCAGAAATAGCTCAGTGCCCATAGCCACTATCTTTGGCAACTGCATCCTGGTGGCAAGTAGGGTTATTGAAAGGTTTTTCCCTTTATAGTGAGAACACTAATGACGTTGTTAAGCACATATAAGTTTTCTGAATTTGTTAAGCACGTATAAGTTATTTGAATTGCTGAGCTGCCAGTAGGAAGCTGGCATTCTGGGAGGGTTGCTGGAATTATTGTGGATGTTAAGGTGTGCGTGGGATATGAACAGTGGAGAACATAGAAGGGACACAGGAGGGTATGTTCAGATTTTCTGCTGGTAGCTTGAGGGGCTCATACAATGCTGAGCTACAGGGAGATGGGGAAATTGGTGCTCAGCTCGTTACATCATCCTGTTGCTGTGTGGCATTCTGTCTTACAGGGCAGTTTAACCAACTCCCCAAGCATGAGATTCATTTTAATGGAACTTTGATTTTTTTGATCTCTTTGCCACCTGTATACCTTGTCCTCACCTTATCTCATTCTGCTTCTCTCCTTCTCTATCTTGCTGTATTACTGTACAGACAGTATTTGTCTATCAATATCTTTTTATTTATTTATTTATTTTTTCAGAAAGGATTTTTATCTTCTCATAAGAGATGCTGTTAAACTACTAGTACGGAAAAGGGCGGTTATTAGTGACCAGCGATAATAAATGTTTGCCCTGCAAGCGCTTTAAATGGTGTAGCTATCAAATTCATTTTTCCCCTAGTTCACTTTATTACTTAGTGCTATTTCATTACTATAGATTTAAATCTGCATACAATGAGCTCATACAAGATTTCACTTTGAATCAGTGGAGCCAGAAAAAATATGAGCCAGCATTTCACTGAATGATGTAGCATGATAAAAATCAGATAAACATTTGTTTCAGAGTACATCCAGTCTCATTTTTGATATTGTTGGTTTCAGGATTTGTTGCTTTGTAGATTTTTGTTGTTGTTTTTTTGTTGTTGTTGTTTGTTTGTTTGCTTGTTTGTTTGTTTTTTCTGAGAGGGTGGGACAGAACACATCTTCTAATAGCAAATCTTATGTTTATTTTTTTTGTGTGCTGTAGAGCACAAATGCTTCAGTGTGAATAATCAATCTGAGCAAACACAAAAAAAGTGATGCTCCTTTCTCTGGTGGGGCTGCACGCCAAGCAGGAATTACCCATGAGCACGATGTTATAGAAGATTGGAGACTCCTTTTGCACTGCTCACTTGCAGTGCTCCTCTCATTCACAGCCACGCTTTGTAAATCCTTTTCAGGCATTAGATTAAATGATAGCAGGCTGAGATCAGCTCATTTCACACCTACAGTATGATCTACTGACAGCTGAAATCTTGCAGTCACTAAAATAAGGTTTAGAGCAAACCAAGCTCAGAGCTAGAGTGAACATATTTTGGTTTTGACAGTGTACTAAGATTAGAAATCTAAATTATTGGGCAAAAGAGCCAGGAATAGCTTTGCTGATAAGGAAGTATTAGTCATGTTAGAGTTGGTGTATGAACTGGAGCTGCTTGAGAAAACACCAGAGATGAAGTGGCAATCAGAACTTTGTTTTGGTGACATTTAAGTTGTAAAACATCATAGTTATAATTGAATTCAGTGGGGAAGTGCAATTAAAGGAATTACTGGCTTATTCATCACTTTAGCTGAAAGAACCTGGGCAAATAGCATTAAAAAGGTATTGAATTAACACTAGTGGGGTGAAAGTGGAGATATTAGAAACAAGTGCCAGTACAACTCCAAGTTTTAAAAATGATCTGTGTGAACATGTGGCAAAGACAACATTACTCTGGGCACGTCTTAGTAAATTCAACAGCAACATTTCCCAATGCTGACGCAAACTTTGGCCAGCCAAGTGTTATCTGCTGCCCTTTGCTGTTGTCGGCATCACTTTCTTTTCTGAAATGGCTGCTTGTGAGGTAGAAGTGAGCCCAGCTCTTACCATTGAAGTTTGAAGTGAAGCAGAACACATCATAGCGGCTCTTATCCTTGTCCCAGAAGCCGTAATTCCTGACGCCGGGCACCGTGTTCTTCCCCCCACAGGGCTCCCTGGGCTTGGTGATGGGGTACTGCACAGAGCCGTCGCTGAGCCAGCCTGCGTTGCACCAGTCCAGCCCAGACCTCCAGGCCTCGTAGAGCTGATCGAAGGAGGCGATGATGGAGTCCTGGTCCAGGCAGGCTTGCTGAGCCTCGTGGAAGTTCAGGTTGTAACGACCCAGCCGCGGAGAGTAGGGGAATACAACACCTGAAATGGCAGAGAGGGGGCTAGCTGAGTATCTTCAACACCAAAAGAGCACAAGAAGGAGAAGTAGCATTTCCAGTCATCAGAAAGAGAAATAAAGGTTAACCCAATAATGTGTTTGACAGATAAGTTGCTTTTTTTCTGGGGAAAAATGCTCTGCCAGTACATCAGCTGTGTGGTCTGGAGAGGGGTTGCAGCCACCTCCTCACCTAGCTCCTCTCCAGGTAACGCAGTGGGGAGCCCCCCAGGGCTGCATGTGTGCCCCACCAGCAGCTCTGCTGTCCCTGCTCTGGTCTCACCCTCGTGCATGCAAGGAGTGCTTAAAGACAAGAAGAGCTGGAAGAAATTTTGCAACTAAATGCTTCTCATCAGAAAAGTCAAGTTTATTGGCTGCAAGATCAAATTCTCTTTCAAAATATTAAACAAACAAACAAACAGCTTAGTTCTATTTCTTCTTCTTTTTCTTTCATTTTTTTTTTTTTTTTTTTTTTTTCTGGGTAGGATTTGGCAATTTTCTTGCAATTACATAAAAAGAAGACGTAGCGTAGAGACACACGAACTATTTCTTCTTGCATGTGAACGTTAAAAAGTTCTGATTGACATAAGAGTGCTGTGCTCTTTTCCTGGACTCTTGCCAAGATTTCCTGAGAGTTCAAGACTGTTGGATTTTTGTTTGTTTGTTTGTTTTTATTCTATTTCACAGTGTCCCAGGAACAGGAAGGCATTTCATGCCCAGCTTAAAAAGAACATTTCAAGGCTAGTCTGGTAGGAGATATAATATCAGGGTCCTGAGATATTAAAATAGGAAATCTACAGGGAAATAAAATCCATGAAATCGTGTGTGGTTCTAGGGAGTCCTTTCTGATACTCTTCAGTTGCTTTTTGCCATTTCCTCACCACTCAAGGAGGCAGAGCTCCTCACAGAGGGCATCAGCGAGCACGGTCCCTTCAGCAGATGACAAGTTTCCTCATTTAGGTGAGGAAACCATTTAGCCAAGCAGCACTCAGCGTGCAGCAATGCCAGACCTGATAAGCAGCACAGACCTGTCGGTGCCTCCTTCCACCCCTGAGGAGTACCACACACCATCCTGCTGCTTATCAGTGGTGAGCAGCTGCATGCAGGCAGGACACAGAGACCTGGGGACAGAGAACATCCACGTGGAGGTGGCGGATGTAGGGACAGCTACAGAGCAGTTTCAGCAGCAACATTCAATCAAGGTTATTGAACTTATCTCACAGACTTTCCCACATGATATTTATATATGTATATCTGTGTTTAAAAGTTACTTCTCAAAGCAAAAAGGATGTTTCTGAAAATGCTGAAGAACCACCTCCCCATGTGGCTCTGATAAAAGACCGTACAAAGAAGAGAGAGATGTGAAACAAAAGTTTGGATCAGACCACCCTAACTTTGGCAGGGTTTAGAAACTGAACTCAGATCTAAATTTTATAGTTGGCTTCAGCCCAATCTTCATAATAAGCTGAAATAAAATGGCACCAGAGAAGATCCAGCTCAGAATGTTTATTCTCAAACATCCCTGCACAACGGAGTGCTGTGGGATGCAGAGGGGCTGAAGACAAGATAACACATTAGGGGATGAGCCAAAAACTTTAAACTCTGGTACAGACATCCATCTCTCTTTTTATTTTCTTCCCTCGGATGAATTCTCCCCGTAACAAGTTCCTCGTCTCCAGGGCAATGTAGCATACGATACCAGGATACTGAAATTACATTATAGTCATGCAAGACTGTCAGCATGCAATGAAGTCATTCTTCTTCTCGAGCACTCAGCCCACCTTGGTGTCTATTCCACTGGTATCTTATCGTCTCCTTTCTTTCCCTCCTCTCCCTCACTCATCTATCATCCAAACAGTGTTATTTTTGTTAAATAAAATCTTTGTTATTACTAAACCTCAGTGACTCAATCCAAGAAAATAAAGCATGCAAATGTAAACTTGCCAGGGTAATAATAAACAAGATTTTGTTCTCCTCCAGCAATTAACTAGAGAGTCTGCTGACTTTCTTTCCTTTGTAATTCTTTTCTTAAGGTACTTTTCAGTTATTAGTTGTCCTGAACTATAAAGCATTAATGAATTGTAATGCTTCATGTGCTGCTAACTATAACTTCATAAACAAGAAGCTGTAGCTGTGGCATGATTTCTCAAACTTTTTTTTTCCTTCCTCCCTCCTGCCCCTTTAAAAAATAAAAATATATTAATTCTCCCTTGGTGTTAATGGATAGAAATAAAAACGACTGTAGTAAAAATATAGCAAGCATCAGAGGAGTCCAAGCTTTATTGCTTTATCAGAAATCCAACACTTATCTTAACACTTTCCAGAACTATACTTCCCCAGACAACTGACTCCTTGTCCAGTACATATGCTTGATCTGCACTTCCACGTAAAAAGAACCCTACCAGAGGTGGATGCTAGAAACTGAACTGCTAAACTTATATACCTTCCAATTTGTTGGAAACTGTTCAAACAGATTGGGTTCCTTAAGATTTCTAATATCTGCTTTTTTGATGGTTAAATATGTATGTTAATTTGTTACAAATGTACTTGAGCTTGACAGTTTAAGACATAATGTCTTAATAATGTAAATAGGCACAAAACTGTAATATTAGCTTTGGGCTATATTTGGGTAGACTGCATAGAAGCTGATTTTTGTTTGGGTTCATCCGCAGTACAAGCCTGCAACTGATTAGCATTAATTTCACCCTGCAGATGGGGGTGGCCATTGGTGATGTTGTACAGCTCCATTGACTCAATATACATTTTGTATAGCTTTGCATTATTTTGAATTGTTGCTAATATTGTTTTATCTTCTTCATTTCCCTATGAAACTAACACTAAATTAATAGCTAGATCTTACTATTCATCTTCCTTTTGGTACAATTTAGCAGTTCTGAACTTTAGTTCATTGCACAGTGTCTTCTTTGGTCTTGGATCTTATAAACCATCAAAAGATAATCCATCCCATCTGTTCTTGAGTGGACAAAAGCTGTCTGGAGGCTTGTTTCTGTTCCCAAATTACAGACTGACTCAAAAACCCTGACTCCAACCCTGCGTTTTGCCACCAAACAGAACACCCACTTCCAAATATTAACAAATTCGGCTCAGGAAACAGAGGGAGAGGAAAACTTCCAGCCTCAAATGGCTGGAAATTAGCACTTATTGTTGGCCACATGAAAGCTCCAGATAATCTTCTACAGAGGAAGAATGGTTTTGTTCTTCCAAGCACTTTACATAACTGTAGCCTGTTATGTATGGCTCGCTCTCTGCTTGCTATGAACAACAGCTGCTGATCTCCCCATGTTTTCTGTAGGCACATCCTGCTGGCAGTCTTCACATGGTATCTGTATGCAGTCAGGCACTTCCAGCCATCTACCAGAAAATGTGTCTGTGCAGGGAGCCTCTTTAAAACCCAGAGAGCTGTGGTTCCCTCACCCAGTTAGCTTGTGGGAAGACGGAGCTGAAACCCATCACTCAACCTTGGTGATTCAGCTCCTCACCCCAAGGAAGCTGTTGAGATACTTGTGGAGCCTGAATGAGGAACATCAACTTTGAGCATGGACTTGACCATGTGGCTCCTCTCCCAGACTTGCACTTCTCTGAAATAGGACCTACACCCACGGTGGGACAACCCCTGCTAGAGGATGAACCTGAGACACATGGATTCAGTGCAGAGCAAACCTGTCACTGAGCAGCAAGGATCTGACCCAGCTTGCTGTATGTACCTGTGGCAATGCAATCACAGTCCCCAAAACAACTTTTGTAATGGAAATTAGGGCTTGTTCCAAATCAGAAGGTAAGACGTGGAGGTTTAACATATCCTCCCCATACACAAGCCCGTGTTTCCATAATGCCTTACATTCAATTCAGGTGTACAACTCTGCTACCATGCTTCTCATTATAGTTTATGAAAGGGATACCAGGAGAAGGGAGAGAGAGGAACAAGAGAAACTGTCCTGCAAATCAAAGTCAAAAGTGCTTTTGTGCACAGGTGTTGACAGCTTCCTTTTCCCTGATTGAGGAAAAATATTTTTTTTTCTCCGTTTGTTTCAGAGGGAGAATTTATAACAGGTCTATGAGAATCAAATGGTTGCTTAATGAAAATAAGAGGAAGATAATCAGAGAAGCAGAGCTCAGTCCTGCTCACATAAGGAATAGAAAAAAGCATGACATTTGTGTGTCATTTGCAAGCTATTTCAGATTCCAATATGCAGATAATTCCTCAAACTCAATACAAATGCTTTGTAGTTGCCCAGTCACTACAGGACATTCACAGTGCAAGGAGCTGTAATGGTTATCCAAGGCGAGATGAGGAAATAAGCCTAGAAAGCACAACTCCTGTAACAATTTATGGGTGTCTATTAAGCTTGTACCATATGCAATTAGCAGTTTTAAGAGTATTTACAGATAGAACAAAATCTCTGTTAACGCATGTGGAAAAAAAATTAAAAAAAAAAAAAAAAGAAAAAGTCTTTTTAAAGCCAGAGTAAAGAAATGGGCTTCCTTGAGTTCTAGCCTAAACAGAAAAGTAAGTTTTCGCGTAGCCAGTGTAAACACCTGGTACAGTAGGGTTTGCTATATGCCATACTGTAGGGTACAGTTTTACTTTGGCAGGTTCATGCACTCGAAGACAAAATTTTCCATGTTGGATTTCTAAAATTCTGTGAAAAGTGGTAAGTCTCTCACTTTCCTTCAGAATTCATCTCCACTCCTCTACCTGTTGCGTGTCTTGACTATTTAGCACAGGCTCTGTGGTGGGCCACCAGCTGTGAAGAGGTAGCAGCCTCCCCATGAAACTGGGGCCACTTGAGGCACTGTCCATCCATCCCACGGCACCCCTGCACCAAGCCATCAGCAGGGTTACTTGCTTCTGACCAATGCAGGCACACCAACTAGACTTGCCTGGCCTGGGGCAGATTATTTCCTTTTATTTTCTCCAGCCTTTATCAAAATTTGAAGACTGTTGTCCTTTGCTCTCCTTAGGACGATCCTAATTCTTTTAGCATTCTCCTTTCAGGTCTTCATTTCCAGATAATTTTTTGTTGCTCTATTTAGATCTTTTACTTCACTGCATCCTTGAAGTGCCATTTCTCACAGTAGTGGCAGTACATGTGTGTCTGCAAAGACCTGTTGTACTGACACAGAAGGAATTACATGGTCTGACACAATTTATTCTTGCTGAACTGTTGTCTTTTACAACAAATGTTGTTGTCTTCTAAGCACTTACAAATGGTGTGCTTTATATCATCAGTTTTACTGTAGGCAGAACAACACATTGTTATGCAAAGAATGTTTTAAATAGCTTTTGGTGTATGAATGTAACAGCAACATGCAAAAGAAACAAAACAAATTAGGATAAATCTGATTAGAAACTAGGGCTAGATTAGAAATGATTTCTGTAATAATTTGGAAGAATTTTTTTACATGCAACTCGTGAACTTTTTTGAACTATTTTTGAGCTATAAAGTCTGTTTTGGGGGGAGAGGCTGCTTTTTCCCACCCCATCTTGGGCATAAAGGCTAACATACCTCCAAGCAAAATAACAAAACCTGCTAGTTTGGGGTTTATGTGGAGCCACCCAAAGTGTTAATTTCTATCAAGAAGCATGGTCTACAGAGATTTTTAACAGCTTTATCTAGATCTGTATATTTCTGGTACAGTTGAATGTATCAAGCAATTATTTTATAGCCTGCACTGCAAGGCTACTGTGCTCAGTTGTCATCTATCCCTGAAAACAGGACCTATAAAAAAAATCCTAACAAATTAAAAACCTGCCTTGGGCAGCTTAGCATTGCTCCACTTTCTCTGCCACCTGGCCCATGAATCTCAGTGCCATGAAGGAATAGTACACTCAATCTGTGCCTGAGTAATATTAGCCAGGGTGCTGCTGGAGCTTTCACCTGCCCAGGAAACCAAAGGACAAAAACCTGGCATAGAGAGATTCACTACAGTGCCTGCTCATAAGAAGAAAAACAATAAAGCACTGACATAAAGAAAATTTAGTGAAGAACAGTAAAACAACAACATAAAGGAAATTCACTATAAGCTGAGAATTCATTCTTTGCTTATGACTTGGGCAACAACATCTACCTTCCATAGGAGGCCTTTTAATTTGTTCAGCTTTCGGTACTCTCAGAATATTTGAAAAAGAATACAAAGCTCATGATCCTTATTTATGCACAGGAGCATGGCATGTTCAGTTCATTGAGAAGATGGCTTTGGTGACAAGGTTAACATAAAATAAAATCCCACTCTCTTCAGTTCCTGCCAGTTCTTCCATCCACTGTGCCCAGTGCAACACTCCTGCCCTTAGACCCTGCATCTAAGTCCACAAACAGGATGGTAATGATAATAAGGTTGTTTTTGAAAGTGCTTTAAAAAAAAAAAAAAAGAGGAAGGAAGGAAGGAAGGAAGGAAGGAAGGAAGGAAGGAAGGAAGGAAGGAAGGAAGGAAGGAAGGAAAAGAATGAAAGATATTATGAAAGATTTTCATAATAACAAAGAAAATATGCAAAAAAAAAGTTGTGCAAGGTATGTAACAAATATAGATGGAGTCTAATTTCAATTTGTTTTTTTTTTTTTTTCTGTTTTTGTATGTTTGTTTGTTTGTTTTTCCAAAGCTAAAAATAACCAGTTATTATGGATAGCTTATGTAACAACAATCCTAGGAGGTCTGTAAGTCTAATAAGAATAAAGTTCTACCACATTCAGAGAAGATAAAAGGTCCATTGAGGTAGAGGTCAACTATTTTCATATAGATAAATTTACATGCTTTCACCTAGCCAAATTGATGCTGTTTGTACAGCAAACTCACACTGGAGTGATCAGCTGTTTTATGCTGCTAGCGGGCATTCCTGGATGTAAATGGTTTTGTCTTGCTGCCAACTAACATCCTGAGGGCCACCATCTCGGGACATCAGACTACTGATGCAGATCCTTCTTACTGTGAGATTAACCTTATTGCTTATAACAGATGAAGGATGCTACTATGGACTAATAGATTTTCATTTTTGTCCAAGGACTAAAGTAAATTTTATCTAATAAATTTGATTTTTTTTTTTTTTTAACTTACTCTGGTCAGCAGTGCCCAAATGCATGAAACAGCAATAAAAGCCAACACTGCATAAACCTACAGATGAGATGAAAGAAGAGTGCAGCAGCACACAAAGAGAGGGATACACTCCATCCATTATGTATATCCATTATGCCCATTGTAAACATATACTTGTAAATGAAGTATACTTTAATCATTACGATTTTAGAATGGAACTTCAACACAACTTGGATTTATTTATCCTAATCATTACTAAGTTGTTTTATTCCAATCTGACACACTCACACTCTTATCTCACCTCTTGAAAGGTTAACTTTTACCATAAGGTTTCCTAAATTAGTATTTTCTGTCTGATTAGGAAATGACACTCTACAATATCAGATAGGAACAATTTGACACCCATATCTGACAAAAGCCTTTAAAACAAGACATTGTTCTGTACAGTAGCCAAACACTCATTAAAATGTGTGAACTTTCCTTAGAGCAGAGATTGGAACATACTTGGCTGAAGACAAATGACACCTCTTTGCCCTTCCTATCCAATGAATTTCCTTATTTTGGGTTTGAGGCAGAAGGAAACAGGAAAGAGTGGTGGTACTGGAGAAGATGGGCTGGAGCTGGCATACTTCAAAGGCAGATGCAGTAGGCTAGAAGATGTGTATTGGGAGGTAGAACCTAGATCTTGCATCCAATAACCTGATGCTCTATCACTAAATGGTCATGGTAAAAAAGATAGAAAATCTGCTTTTTGCCATTGTGTTCAAGAGATACCATTTCTCCAATGCTGACTGCTCAATAACTTTTTTTGTCCTCAAAAAAAGAGATGTAGTAACTCTTGGGGATGTCAGGGCTGGGATGTCTCACTCTGTTAATGTGCTTTTCAGGAACTGTGTAGTGATGGGACAAGGAGTAATGGCTTTAAACCAAAAGAGGATAGATTTAGATTAGCAATAAAGAAGAAATTCTTTGCTCTGAGGGTGGTGAGGTCTAGGCTGCCCAGAGAAGCTGTGGATGCCCCATCCCTGGCAGTGCCCAAGGCCAGGCTGGATGGGGCTTTGGGCAACCTGATCTAGTGGGAGGTGTCCCTGCCCATGGCAGGGGATTGGAACTAGATGATCTTTCATGTCCCTTCCTACCCAAACCATCCTACTGTTCTACGATTCTATGTAGAATTGTTCTATGTTCTACCTGAGCAATCTCATACTGCTCATTAGCCCATTTGTGGATTCAGCACTTAGCTCTGGGCAGCATCAAAAACTATGTAACTGTTACTTCAAAGGTACGATGCTACGTGGCACCAGAACAGGTACTGAATGTGTGGTGCAATGAATATTTTAAAGATTTTACACTGGCTCTGACTGTATTACATTGGCAAAAGATATCAATATGCCATAAAATGCTGGGAAGTCAGTATATGACTGGGAACAAGATGCACAGTAATTTATCTGCAAAAGCTTGAAGGCTGATGGAGGTATGTACTTAGGATGTGAGGAGCCTGCCAGAAGAATGTTATTGCCTTATGCCATGAATGAAGTAAAATGTTTTTTCCTTCTACTCATTTCTGTCTTCACTCAAAACTGAGTATTAGGTAACTTAACCTGTGTACATGACCAATTTTCTTTATCTCCTAAATTTGTAAAGAATAGTGTATGTTCTTATTAAGAACCAACTATGTGGGGTGAAAAACAATCTAAAATGTATATTGTGCTGGCATGAAAACTGTGCAGGTCCAGGGCCTTTCTGTACCCAGAAATGGAAGATATTAGCAGCCTCCAACCAGGAAAGAAAAAAACAAATGAAAAGAAGTAAGCTCAGGCCGTGATACCTATTTGGTTGCAACTAACAGTGAACCAGTCTTATTGAGAAGATTGTGTAAGCAACCATCAAACCATCATAATGTGCAACAGCCTGCAGTGAAAGATTCACATACCTCACCAATTTAATAGGTCTTCCTTTTGATTTTTTTTTTTCCTCACCCCCCCTCCCATTTTTTTTCCCCCTAACTACTATATAATGCCTGATACACACATGCTGGAAAGTATAAGGGTAATGGGGACAGGGAGACATCTTCGAGCAACTCATGGTTTATTGCTGAGAACTATACAGTGCATTGGGGAAAAAGGCCAAATGCTGATTTAGCTTCATTGAATCCCGTAAAATTTATCTGAATTTCATAAGAGTAAATGAAAGATGATTTTTTTTTGTCCTTTTTCAATCCATTTCACCATTTTTTCTAATGGTTTGTACTGTATTGTTTACAAGAGTATTGCTGAGGGAAGTGGCTACTACAGTCTAAGAGTTGTCTTAGCAGGATATATAGAGATGTATTTCATATAATTATAAAGCTGGAAAAAAGACAAAAGCATTGTCTCTGTAAAATTATTTTAAGATTTTCCCTGTTGTAAGAAGATTTTTATCTGCTTGCTAATATAAAATGTCCCAAAGTTCTGTAAAATGGCTTTTAGGGGAATACTTAATATAATTTTGCCCAAGTCAACTGCAAAAACACGTAGCAATTTCTGTAAAACTACAGGACCAAATTAAAAACATATGGAGTCCTTCATACTGTGTTTGGTCAGGGGTTGATTTTTTTTTCTCTTGGCTCCCCTTGCACGAGGCTCACTGGGAGCTGAATATGCTATGGGCTAGTATAAGTTATAAAAGTTCTAATGTTCTTCTAATTTATGATAGCTGCTAGAGGCTGTCAGGCCCAGGTCCCCAGAGCACAATGAATCCCACTTCTCAGCTTGCTGCTATCGCTGATAGCACAATACCAGCAGTATGAGGAGGAAAAGCAGGTATTCCTTAACACCACGCAAATCTAAATTTAGGTATAATTTAGACGTTACTTACCTTCCAGATTCAGAGCTACCACTGCCGTGTCATCCTCTAATCCTTCAATCACCTCGCACTTATATCTTCCATAATCCTCCAGCATTATATTTGTGATTACGAGGGAGGCATCATTTTCACTGCTTTCTCTCAGAAACACTCTGCCCTGGTACTTTCCGTAGCTCTTTCTGTGGTGTCCCATCGCAACAAAGACGTCCACTTCTTTGAGGTAATCTGAGGTGAGTTTGGTCCACTTGACACGGATTTTGTGGGTTCCTGAGCCAGCTATTGATGTGTGTTCGTGGTAAAATTTACATGGCAGTGTGACATTGCCACCCCGCTGCGAGAAGATTTTGGCTTGTTCTGCTACCACAAGTAGACGGGGTCCATTTTCTTCTAGGATTCAAGCAGAAAAATAGAAAGGAGAATGAGTCTGCATTCCACCTTGTGCAGAACGGACATGACCATTAGCTGTAAGTCCACAGGATCATTTCCCTGCAATCATTTTGTACCTGTACAGCAGTAAGGCATGCAGACTAGTTGTATACAATTATTTACATAGTCACACATATACAAGCTAGTAACAGGCATTGAGGTGAGATTCAATAGCAAGCTACAGCTTTACTTCCCACGCTGTGTGGAGAAGTGCAATATGTGTGCACAGAGTGGCCCAAATGGTTTGCAGCACTGTCCCCTGTGTAGGCAGAGGCCATCCTACATAATCCATAGTCATAATGATAGAGGTGCAGTGATATATCAGTAGGGTTGTAGAGTTGGTGTATGAATGCTATCATCCGAAAACTGCTTGATGCAAGCACCCTGTATTTCCCTGTGGCTTGTTCCAGAGCTGTCAATCAGCACTGCCCTCTTTTCGTAACTCAGTTTATATATGCGAACTGAGCTTATTCAGGCAAAGCCTCTAATGATATGGGATGCAGCAAATCATTCTCACAGAACAGGAAAAGCGTTACAGTATCAAACAGCATTGTCTATAAGGACACGGGAAGTGTCAGCGTAATTTAAAATGGCCTGTTCTCTTTGTGTATTTTATTCTAACCTTCGAGCTCCTCTGCTAACATACTTCTGCTAACATCAGAAAGTCCAATTTATCTTCAAAACCATAAAATCCTGTCCTTTTCTGCCCTCTTTCCTGATCATCTCAAACTTTTTTCCCCCATCTTTTTTAACCAATATCCTTCAAACTTGTCACCATTTTATCTTTAATGTTTTGATCTGACTTTTCACACCAACCCATTTTTAGCTGACAGGCTCCTGTCCTCCTTTACCCTTTCCCCAGATTCCCTGCTCCCTTTTCTCTGTAGTAGGTCACTACTGCTGATGCTGCTCTGTGTTTAGGATAGTCAGCTGGAGCAGCTTGCTTCCAACCTCGTCTCTCTGGGGCTTCTTTGACAGGCTGTGTTGCCTTGGGAAAGCCCTAGAAAGCACAGGTTTGATGGTGGCAGCCAGCACATGTAGCCAAATGCTAGAGTATTTCCTTCTTTCAGTAACTCTTGCCTCTCTTTTCATACAAAATCGATTTAGCAAAGCACAGTGCTTCTGTAGATATTGCTGTCCTCTGTCAGTACAGACACTGACTGAAGCTAGCAATCACCAGCACTCAGCTTGGTAGAAAAGAATTACCGACCTCACATAACTGATTACAAAGAATCACAGAATCATTAAGGTTGGAAAAGACCTCCAAGACCATCTGGTCCAACCATCCCCCTTCCACCAATGTCACCCACTAAACCATGTCCCTAAGCACCACGTCCAACCTTTCCTTGAACACCCCCAGGGACAGTGACACCACCACCTCCCTGGGCAACCCATCGCAATGCCTGACTGCTCTTTCTGAGAAGAAAGATCTCCTAATTTCCAGCCTAACCCTCTTCTGGTGCAACTTGAGGCCATTCCCTCTAGTTCTATTGCTAATTGCAAAGACAAGCCAGTCGAGCATGAACCTGCATCTGCATAAGAAAATAAGCTATCCTGAACATGTAATCCTTTGCCAGGATATGCTGTGTCAAAAGCATCACCGCACAGGATAGCCTAGCCAGAGAAGGTTCCTCCAGAATGAACAAGCTCAGGTGTTGCAAGCTGGGTTAGTAAGATAGGAGACCCTCCTAGCTAGTGAAATTGCTTAAACCACCCCACCCCATGCAAGTGGTGTTCTTGTCCTTCGTGCTGGCAATAAGAGGGCAGCATTTGAGGAGAGAGATGGCAGGGCACTATGGGAAGAGCTGCCAGCCCTGCTTTCATCGGAAGAGGAGAAGGAAGAATGGGAAGGCAGCCAGGATGGCTTCTCTGTTGCTTTCCCAGTTTCCATCAGGGACAAAGAAGTCCCACAGACTTCTGTCTACCTTGGGAGGAAGAATGTTGTGCTTTTGGGTGGTTACTGCTGAGAAACCTGAATCAGAGCTCAGCTATGTTGTGTCTTTTACACTGAAACAGGCAAGCTAATAAATATTAGCAGACAGGAGGGAGAGTCTGACTCAGGTTGTTAACGCTAGCTCTTTCTAACAACAGCTCGCCTGTCCCAGCGAGGGCTGGAGCCTTGCCTGGAGCACTGTCACCTCTGTCTCAGGTGCCAGCATCCCCGTGCAACCCCGTGTCCCTCCGGGCTGCCACCCACCTGCCCCGAGGCCCTTTGCTCAAGGGGTGCCTGAAGCTGTGTTCCAGTAAGAGCCAGGGATGGAGGAGATGGGAGGCTGAGGAGTGAGGGGGAGGCACAGCTTCTTCTCAGGCTGAAGCATCCCCTGGGCCCTGATGTGTTGTGACATGGTGACCGGATGGTGGGAGATGGGGTGAGCGCTGCGCTAAAAAAGAACAATTCTTCCCCAGAACTACTTTGTTCAGAAGAATCATCAGAGAAGTTGTGAGGTGAATGGCCGAACAACTGTAAACTCTGCAAACCACAGATAACGCCTTGCTAAACTGTTGCCTCCAACAGGACAGTTTGGGCCTTGTCTGGGGATGAGACAGACCAGATGCACGGCCACACAAGAGCCTCAGACACCACTTCAAAATGCGCTAGCCTTGCTGTCCCTCAGTGGTGCCAAACCAAGGAGGTAAACACTGGAGGAGAAAGGGTATCTGCTGTAGCCTCTGTTCTGCTCTCCCTCTCCCATGTCTGACAGCTGGGCCACCAGCAGTGCTCTTCCTATCATCCTTACTCTGTACATGCCTTGCCTTGACTGCAGCAGTGCGGTTCCCAGTTCAGGGACACCAAATGGACTTGCTCTCACATTGCTACGACCCTCAGCTTGGTCGTAGGCTTATTGTCTTTTTTGTTTGTTTGTTTGTTTGCTTGTTTTTTGTTTTTGTTTTTGTTTTTTTTTTTAGCTTAGTTTTGTTTTCTTTTCTTTTCTTTTAACTGGCTTTTGCAGTCAGGAGGATAGTCAGCTGGAGGAAGCCAGGTTTGCAAGGAACACGGTGTGGGGCAGGAAGGATGAGTCAGGCTGCAGCCCATGGCAAACAACTTTATTCACATTATACATCAAAACTGTCCAGAATTTCATGCTGACCCTGGTACAGAACTTGATTATTCCCATATTTTAATGGAATAACTTACAGAGCAGCAATGAAGGGAAAAAGTACTTTTTTTTTTTTTTTTTAGAATAAAAATAATCCTGTTGGCGTTTTTTCTTTGCCCTTAGAAGTCTTCACAGATGTGTTTTGTCAGTTAGAACATGTATTGCTTAGATGTTCCACACTGTTAGGAAAACCATTAAGTTAATATCATTGTGCCTTGCTGGCTTAAATAAATATAGAGTTGTTTCTTGCTTTCTTGTACTAGTATCTGGGACCTCAGCATAGCTCTCATGCTAAAAAATCCTTACTCTTTCTATAGAAGTAGCATGTCTTGTTAGTGTACTATGCTTCTTTAAAAATATTTTCTGTGATAAAAATAATCCCCTATGATTATGCTTTTCCTCTGATCTCACTTATTCACACTGAATGGGAGGAAATATGTTAAAGGGGCTGTATTAACTCAAGTTTAAGTTTCTAGTAATCCTAGCATTGCAAGAAAAACAGCAGTGAAATAACAGACTTTCTCTCTTCTAAACTACTGCCATCTTATACCTTAAATATACTTTAAATGTGCATTTATTTCAGTATAGATAAAGAAATTGCATGAAGATCTGGCTGCAAGCACGTTTTCTCTCAAGTGGGACCTACCTCCTTGACATACTTCCATAAACTTCCTGGCATTAAATCTATATTCAGCCCTATGGCTACTGCCCAAATTTGGGGTTAGTTCTGATTTTGCATTGATAGCAGGGCAAAGGAGCAGAATTTAGTCACCAAGTAGTTAGCATTAGTATCACCACCTTTCAGCACTTGTTAGCCCCAAAAGAGGGAGCAGAGGATGAGTAGAGCAGAAATCATGGCACTGTCTCAGTACCTTTTCTGATCGGAAGGAAACGTTCTTGGGTTGGGTGCTGTGGCATTAAGACAGAAAAAACCAAAATATCACACAGAAACGGTATGGAGATTCTGAATTACCTTTAAATGTTACGCATGGGAAATTACACTAATGTAGCATGGTGAAGGCAAATTAATAATTTAAATTGATGTTTAATATTAAACCTTCTGCTTCTGTAATAATTTTTCATGACACGAGTACACTGGTACCTACAATGCACCAGTAATGTAACAGACCTAGATGTAAGGCCTAATAAGCAGACCTGAATGCCTTTAATAAAACCGAGATGCCAACAGCAGGTGAGGTTGTTCCGTGCTGATATTTCTATTACATGCTGTTTCAATATGCCACACTATGAAGAGGAAAGAAAGTTGTGTTGATGTGAAAGAAGCAGCTCAACTATAAGAGACCGCATGATGGATTTGGGGGTAATCTTAATTGTCCTAAACGACAACAAAAGTATGAAGAAATTTTAAGGAAATACAACACAATAACATGAGATTTCAGTTAGGATTGTGTTGTGGTTTTTTTGTTGTTGTCATTGCTAAAGAGTTGGTACCCTAAGGTGTACATATGTTTTTGTGGCGGTAGGGAGGAGAGTACACATCACTTAAACATAGTTTTCTCATTTGCTTTTATCACACAAAAGCTAAAGTGCAAGGACACTTGTATGCAAACAAACCAGCAGAGAGCAAGGTGTAAAGCCTATCTTGAAAAGATGATTTGGCTAAGTAGTCTGGGATAACAGCACAGCCTGACCAAAACCATGAAATGCATTACAAGCTTCAGGAAAGAACATAAAGTCAAGGAAGAGTTAAATGCAGCTTTAGATATTTCATAAATTTTGCTCTTTGATAGTGGAATAAAACCACAAGAGAAAAGATATAAACAAAGGAAATGGGCCAGGAGAAAGAAGCAAAAACGTAAGACTGGTGGTAAAGGTAGGGGGAAAAACCATCTAGCAGATGCAAAACTGGACTGAGGTCTTGTTTCACTGTATTAACCAAGGAAGGGAAGAGAATTGGATGGCCTATTGCCGTGAAAGGCTGAAAAAACAGAAACCCATGCTGCTCATGAGAAGCAAGAAGAGATTTCTGGCTGGAGAGGATCCTGAAAGACCTCCAGTCTTGGCTGATGTGTATCTGGACAACTCGTACTGACATCTTTCTGCTTGGAACGGACCAACAGAGACTACATAGATCACGTGTAGCTGCGAGGAATCTTTGAGGATATTCAGAGTGGAAAACACTCAGCCTGGAACTTACTTTATGGATGGACATTTGCTAATTCACTGATTACTAGTCTTCCGTGACCGAGACACTAATTGTTGATAAGAAAAACTCTAAGGGAAGAAACCGGGGGAAAACTTTATGGGAAAACATGGTATCTATGCCTACTGCACTGCTAAGTCTGAGAGACAACAGGAGTTTTTATACTAATGGAGGGCAGGAAAGTGGTGCAACTAGCCAGATCTCCTGGCTCCTGACACAGAATTGCTAAGGGAGCCAAAAGCATGTTGTAACAGCCGTCAGACCAGAAGATGGTATTAATCAGTGGCTCTTCAGGAATGCCAAGTAAAAGAAAGAGGTGATGAAGTGGCCGCCTGCATTAGTACACAGACCAAAAACATGTCAGGAAGGACTGTGAAAGATTTTCCTGCAGCAATGAAAAAAGTCTTCTGAGCAGGCATAGGTTCATTTTGGAGTGTGGAGTGACCACACAGCTGGAGATGGAAGACAACAGAGAAATGACGCAAGTGCTAAACTAACATATCTTACGTTTTCAGTAAGGTTGTCTTTGATGTTCTGAAAGCAGGATATAGTTTAAAGTACATGAGTGCACTGATACAAAATAAGAATGTAAAGATGAAACCTGAGCTAAGAAAATATAGTCTGTTCAATGAAAAGCGTGGAGGAACTCACCATCTGAAGTACTGACGTTACTACTGGCACTTGGTATGGCAAACCCGAAGGCGGAGATATCAGCTTGCTTATCACTTCAGTGCACTGTAGTGTAGCCTGTCACTGCACTACAAGAATAGTACCATATGTTTCTGCACAACAGCAACATAACATATACATATATGTAAGGAGAGTAATTTAACTGTTAACAGGCCTATTAGTCTGACTTCAACAGCAAACAGGACTTTAGGAAAATTTTTGACGAAAAATTGTTGAAGAAGAAAGAGAATTAGAGTAAATCACTAGGAACATGGATAAAATGCATCATATTCTGACCAAAGGGTGTCAGATTAATGTTATATCAATCATATAATAAAACTAAATATATACAGCCAGGAAAATGGGATTCATTGATTGCTTGGATTTCAGGGAAATGATTTGGGAAATATAGGAAATGAGGGTGGAGAACACAGGTGTTTGATGGAAACTTTGCTAAATGTGTAAAAACTTTACACATTTAAAAAGAGGAGACTGCAATTGCTTGGGTTATAGCATAAATGATTGGCCTAGAAAAAAAAAAAAGTCAACTTTCTCCAGAATCATTTTTAAGACTCTTTAATATTTCAATTTTATTTATTTATTTATTTTTACCTTGTAAGTTAAATAAGTAAATGGGACTATTGAATGAGTAATGTTTCACATGATGTATATAGCCACATTGAAGGAGGAAGGATAGGTATTTAGAACGTGTGAAGATAGAAAAAGGGTGGACAAAGAGACAAAATTTAATATGGACAACAAAACCTAGATTTTTGAGGCCTAATGTGAAGAATTATTGATATGAACCTTGCACTTGTTAATTGCAAGTGATAATGAGGGACAACAACTGCTAAATATTGTCTAACACAGTAGACTATCAATCTGCACTGCAGCATGGCCAGGAAGAGGGAAGATTTGACCTCAGGTCTAACAGGCAAAGCATTGTTGTCAGGAAAGTAAAAATACTGATGCTAGCCTAAGATCTTATCTGGAATGAAATCCTGACTGTGCACACTCAAGAAATTTGGATTCAAACAACAAGCGTATGGATGAACAACTAACATCAGGCAACTGGAGAATATACACTCAGGGATTAATTTGAAAAAGTTTATTCACATGGTAGCTGTGAGGAGACTTGTTGGTAAATCACTGATGTTTTAAAGCAAACATCAAAGAAGAAAGAGAGTTATTTGAAGATAAGGATATTAGGAGAAGCATAAGGCTGTTCAGTGGCTGTGAGCAAGCATGTAGACTTGGAAGAATGTCTCTCATGTCAGAATAGGGTCTAAAACTGCCCTGCAGTGATAAGGCTTGAAACCCAGCTTGTTTAAAAATAAAAGTAACTTTATGGGATGTTAGATGCTGTAAAAAAAATGGAATAGAACACAGTTTAGCTCATTGCCTCATGAGATGCTTTTAGCTCTGTGTACTTGACTACAGAACATCTATCTGTACCTTTTGTCACTCCAAAACATGCGATCCAAGAGGAGTTTAGCTCTGGATCCCTTGGATTTCACCTACTCAATGCTATACTCCTTAATATAATACAAAATGCCTTTTGTATGAAGCCATAACATGTGTTCTACAGACTTCCCTGATTTGCAGCTCATTTCCAGGTGTAGATCATCTTGTGTGTTTATGCAGCACTGGGCAGAGTGAAATCCCTAGCCTGTTGTGATTCCACAATGCAGAGAGGAATGAAGAAATTAATAGTAGAAATATCAAGTTCTGAACAGTTTAATTCTTTTTGATTTGTGGTCTGTGTATTTCAGAGCCCAAACCAGCTGATCAGCAAAGGTTATGGCAGAGCTTGATTTTAAGCATCATGCAGCTTTCCTTGAAGGAATGAGCTCTCAAGGTTCAGAAGAGTTGAGTTTTCATGGGTAGGGAGAATGCTCTATCTTGCAACTTTTTTCATCTGTGAACTATTTGCATTTGCAAATTGCACTGTACACACCCTGAAGGACTAGTAAGAAGCAACATGTATGACTTGCAAATTAAACTAAAATAAACTTCTGACTAAGAAAGTTTAGGATACACAGATTAAGGAAAATTAATTTTGATTTGGTTTAATTATTTCCAATAATTTCTTCTCCCAACATGGTAAGTAAATTTCAGAGATAAGAAACAGAATTATACAAGGTACATTATAAATTTAGTTGACATGAATGTCAAATTTGAAATTAACCCTGGGGAAGGAACATTTACCATCTCACAATGGTGATATTTCTTCATTTTGGTATACACATTCATTGTGTATACCTTCATGCTGTAAGCTTCTTTAGAGGAAAACCAGCTATCTGTTATTTCTTATTTGACCTTGACAGCATGAGTGCCTGTTTCAGTAGGTGCAGCATGCCTTTGACTTCTGTGACTTACCTGGAAACTTCTAAATGCTCAGGCTTTCTTAGTATCCTTTTCTAACTTGGTAAGTCATATTTACATACAAATTCAAATAAAATAATTTGCCAGCTGATGAGAGAAAGTAATCAAAATTGGGGGTGGGGGTAGGAGAATTTGTGCTGTGTTTCTTAATTTTGCAAGATTAATTTTAGTCATCCTCAACAAACATATAAATGAAGGCAGGAATATCCCTGTTAGTTCTGCCTATCCTTCCTGCATAAATCTTTGCTGTTTTCTTATACAGGATGACCCTCAACGACTGAAGCTGGGACTGAAAAAACAGCTGCATTGTACTGCAGACTCAAATCCTGCTACAGCTATAAGCTCTAGGATTCAAACCAAACAGGATTATGCAGAAGGGCAGTATAATACTTGGTGTGAATTAAAGGTATGAGAAAGGACACATTTCTTTCTGGGTAAGCTACTTTTTTTTTTTTCCTGATGTTTAAATTGCCCAGTTATGATCTCAGATGTGCTAAGCCTTTTTAAATAATAAACAGCAGTAATTTTCTGTGATGTGAAGAATTATGTATGGCAGTCTCATAAAATGAAAAATATTCCACAATAAAGTAGTTATTCCAGCCCACTGCAGTTACTTATTACTTTAGGATGTATGCTTTTCTTCTTCATCTTAAAACAAGCTGTCCTTTACTCACTAATCTTTGCAAGGTTGTGACTAATTGCTGTTAAACAGTGCAACTTTCTTGTTATTGTGTTGTTTGTTTGTTTGTGTTTGTTTTTTTTTTTTAATTTGATTTTTGCCTTTTTACTTTCTCTGTGAGTAATAATAATGAAATAGAACAAGAAAAGTAAAGGTTCTGGTCACAGGTTGCAGTACTTTAAAACATGCAGCAAAATAAAACAAAAAATAAAAAAGAATAAGGATCATTAAGCACGTCATTCTGTCTTCCTGAGCAATCTGCAGATACTGGTATTTTCTCATGTATTTCCTTACCTTGGATGTGAATAATTCTCTCATGCTCCAGGCTTGAGTTGTCAGGGTGAGGGTCAGCCCAGCAGACAGAAATCAGCACCAGAAAGAGGAGACTCGTCATCTTTATACTCAAAAGAATCTTCTTCACTGTAAGGGCAGCACATACAAAGAGGCTTGTGAATTTTTGGAAACCTTTACAGTGTTGGACTGCACAACTTGTTACAGCAATGATCTTTTAAAGGATCTGTAACATAGTTAACCCATTCAGCTCAAAAAGAATGGGTTAGAAATTTCTTAGTCATGAAGACTGGACCTTTTTAACCACAGACTTTGATTAAATGAAACTTGCAATCCATATTTAGCTCTGCTTATGCAGAAATACAACACGAAAGAACAAAAGCACACACACACACACACACACACGCACGCACACACACACAGATATCTATAAACTAAACCCCTTGCAGCACCATATGTAAGCTGTACTGGTGTTTCAAAAAATGTTCTAGTGTGCTTTTGCATTTCCAGACCTACTCGAGCTCTGGTCCAGGAATACAGTTAAAACAACTGAAGCAATATCTAAATCTGTACCCCAATATGATGCAATCTGCTGCTGGCAGATTTTTAAGGTAAAAACAATCTTCTCACAGGTTTTGGCATTTCAGGGAAGACTGCAAATCAACATAGCAGTCAGGGTGATAAGTTTGCTTAAGCTAAGCAAGAAAGATGACAAAACATTTCTGAGGCTGATAGAAAGGTCTATTTTATTTCATACCCTCTTACCATTTTAAAAGATGTCTAAATACACAATGAAATGTTCGAAACCATGCACAAAGTAGGTTAGAGTTGTATATGCTACCACTGCAGCTGCCCTGATTGATTTTTCATTCATTTTTACCTAGAATGCTGACGCACTAACTTAGTGTGCCAGGTAGGGTCTCTGCAGTCAGCAGAGCTGAGAGCTGCAGGGAAAATCTCTGCCAGCCTCTGAGTAGTAATTAGGCAAATGAAGACCTGAAACAGAAAAGGAGGCATAAAAGACAAGAAGTTTTATATGGAGGGTTTAGACTGATGTGTGTTTTATAGCTGTAATTTTAATGACCCTTATTTCTTGAAATAAGAGATAGTTATTTCCCAACTTTGCCTTTCAAGAGACTAGTATTTTTTTCCCCACTCTTGAAGTAAGGACAGCATTATTAATATGCTTTCTCTCTAATGCAGAGAAGTGTAATCTTTTTTGTTGTGCCTCTCTCGGAGCTAGAAGCACATCAGAGTTGCAGGGTACTCTCAGTCAGAGCTGGGGGCTGAGTCTGAACTTGCCAAGCTGCCCCAGTCTTTAAGCATATGCCAGCACCTACAAGCTTCAAATCTAGGTCCAAATACTGGAACCTGGTCAGCCTCTGCTACCATCCGAAATGCAGAAATGCTATTGCCTTTTATTCAAACAGCACATGCATGTTACTTGCCTGCCCTTCCATTTCTTCAAGCGAGTTTGGGTGGGAGCTCAGTGCCCGTTCAGCATCCCTTAAGTGGAGTGCCTAGAGGTAGCACAAGTGACTGCTGCATGCTGCTTTCCAGGTGGTCCAGCTCAGAAACTCCGGGCTCCCCAGCCACTCCCTCTTTCCTGGAAAGCCTGGCAGCCCGATGACCTCCATTCGGGAGAGCAAGGGCAGATGTGGCTCCCCCTGCAGCACACCAGCCCGAGCCTGTGCTGACTGGGGGGGTCACTGGCGTGAAGCAAAACCACGCTGCTCTTTTTCTCACACACCCCACACCAGGCACATTTGCTCTAAAAGGTGGAAATGCTGCAGGTCTGAAGCATTTTTATTCACTTATTTTTGTCTGTTGACTAACAACTGACGATTCTGTTTCATTGGTTGGTGAGAGTTCTGTTGATTTGGAAATAGTCCGGGTAACAAAGGAGCTTTGATTTTGGAGAGCCCACGCAGAGCCTGTGGGGGTGTGCCCGTCCCAATCTGCAGCCTGGAGCCTACGCTGGATGCAAAAGCTCCTGGACCCTGCAGGGGCTCTGCAGACCTGCTTGGGGAGCACCTTACCATCTCATTAAAGGTTTGCCTCTATCATCACAAACTTGCTCTTTTCCATGGCACCAGTGAAACAGAACAGCCAATTAACCAGGGGACTGGTAGTACAACCCTGTTTTGAGGGGCAGCATCCCCATTTATCCTAAACTATGCACGCACAGGGACGAGGGCTCCACCGTGGAATAAAGACACACCTCCTGGTTACACAAACGGAGAACTCCACGCATGGCCCCCTTCTTTGTCAAGGTCACCTTAATGCGATGGGGAAAAGCCCTCCACCTAGCAGGAGTTTCCCTGAGATGCTGACCTGCAGAACAGCTTTGTTCGGGGTCAGTCTGTTGCACTGAAGGTGCCAGATACAGCTTTTTGAGATATTTCTGTTCCCTTCAAATAGAGACAAATATTACCCTGTGCTCAAAACTTTCCGTGACAGCATCACAGAAGGAGGATGAGAGACACGTAAATGCTGGACTCTGGGTACCTGCTCTTTCCTCAGCTCTGTGGATGCAGCTGAACAATTGCATTGGTCAGAGGCCATGGATATGGCACAAAATCAACCTCTGGGGTACAGATAGACATGAATTTGGGGTGAAATACTCCAAATGGTGGTACCTTAGCTTTGTGAATAGACGAAGTTTACAGTGTCTGGCCTTCAGGTTTTCCATAATAGCCAAGGAGAGAAAGGGCAGCCTGATGTGTTCATGGGAGGTAGAGGGGCAGGCACACGCAGTTATTGTGTGTGTGTGTGTGTCTGTGCTTCCTTTCACTCTGGTGAAGCTCACCTGTGCTGCTCAGGTGCATCTCTCTCTCAATTGCCTCAGACTGCACAAAACCAGCAAGAACTATAAGACTACCTAACGGGGGAGCAAATGCTTGGCCCACCTTTTGTAAAATTTACCCGTTGCATATTTTCCAAAGTCACTGAACACTTTATGCTTGAGGTCGATCAATGCAGAGCAAACTTTTAACTGGGCAGAAGCGTCCCGTTTGTTCCAGCCTCTGCTAAAGGCGAGCAGCCCATTCACTGCCACCTATGGTGTTTCCAGTCGGGAACACCCTGAGCTCGCCCCACATTCCTCCTGGCACTCCCCACCATGGGAGACGCGGCACACGGCCAAGGCAACGCAAAGCGACTTCACCAGGCCAGGAACCTGAGCCTTAGTGTTTTGTAGGTTATCCAAAAAGCAATTAGCCAAAGAAATTTACATCCTCAGCTCTAGCCAAAGTAACGGCAGTCAGGCTCCTTTTCTGCAACAGCCTTGAAGACCTCAGGGGAAAAATGATAGGTGTGGATGTTTTCACATTAAAATTAATAAAGTCTTGGCTGGAAGACAGTGAGTTTTCAGTAAAAAGTGGTAATGAATAGTCATATTCAAGAAATTTATGCTGGTTTCAATTGTTACATCTTTCTGTATCAATCTGCTGTCTCCCTAGACAGGGGCAGAAGGAGGCTGAATAGCAGTTTATAAGGGGGGAGCATAAGGCTTAGGGCAGTGGTCAAGATGTCTGTGCATTCAGCTTCTAATTTCTCTAAACCTGTCCATTCTTAGATAAAATTTGAAACTCTCATACTAGCCATCATTTTGTTATGCTTACGGAACCATAATTCATCTACCACAGGCAAATCTAAAAGGTGATAAAGCACCAATGTTTGCATTTTAATGTACTATGCTGAAAATCAGCAGAATGCCTTCAAGTAATGACTGTGTAAGTAAGAGGCATTTCAACGAAGAACGGAAGAGTGACAAATGCAAATAAAGGCACACATCAATCCCTATTTTTAATACAAAAACATATTTCCTATTTACTACTACAACTACTTTTTAGCTGCAGAACATGAGAGCATCCACAATGTTTGGCCAAAGGTCTACATTGCTCAATATGCTCTCCCTGACAGTAGTTAAAGGCCATGGGAATACCTCTGATTACAGGAGTTAACTTTTATCTTTTATTAAGATGTGATGACATCCTATATCAAGTGCTTGTGCCCCTGAGAGGAAAGACCTGTGGAAACCTGAATTCACAACGGCTCAAGAGCATATGGCAATATGACCATCACCTCCTCTGATTCAGCTGCAGACACGGTAACTCTGGTAAGATGAGTGCTTGAGTAAGATTTGACTTAACTCGTGCAAAGAACGGGCTGCTTTTGGGGAAATGCCACAAAATGCTGCTTTGGATCATGCAGGACTGCAACTGCCTTACTGCTACCTAGACCACAAGAACCACAGAGAAGGGTACTGCAGCAAGATACAATGCCATGTACTCAAGTGCATAGCTCTACGGTGCAAAGAAGGTTTAGGAAGAGAGGCAGATGACATGAGATACCTTGCTGAAGAAGGAAATGAGTTACCAGTGCACAAGGACAGAAAAAACATCTAACTCCTAGGACAGACACAGCGGCCTTCTTCATTAAGGGCTCTGTCTTTCTGTGGATTTCTTAGTATTTTATACAATGAAAACCAGCAGCATTCAAGGGCATCTAAAATGGGTAACAGAATTAGTAAAAGCAGTCTAAGTAGTTTAATGTTGAAATAACCAGCAAATCAATGGACTATTCACAACTGTGCACAAACCTATTATATGATACAAGCCACTACAGGCTCTCTCTTTGCAGATCTGTTCCATCTGAGAACTGGTGCTCAGCACTATAAACGAACTTAGTAAAATAAAGCATATGTATTTTCAGGGAGAGGGTGTCAGCTACAAATAAGGAAAATCTCTCACTCTTAGACACCACTGGTAGATAACAGAACATGATGAAAATCAACCTAGACAGTACTCATACATTCTCCTCTGTAGCCTTTCCTAAAATTGGGAAGATGGAGTAGAGTAGTACTGCAGTCTAGCTGAGTAGACATGGACTTCTGGTGTCAAATGGCTGGCCAAAGTCTGCTGAAGCTCACACCTTCTACATGCATGTAGACACCTAGGTTTACGCAGCTGGGCTGAGCCATAAAAATGTGATTCAGATGTGAATTATTTTTGTCTGTATGTAAAATTTCACTTAGGAGTCCAAACAACTAATATTGTTAATTAACAACTAATACAGTTAGTGCATTTCTAGCCAATGCCATCAGCGGAAGGCAGACTGGTATTTTG